AGGGAGGGAGAAAAGGAAGAAGTACGTTCGTTAATCATTCATCTCTGTAGAGACCGTTGAACAATAAGATCTGGGGGGGGGGTGTTAATTGAACGTTTTCCAGCAATCTTTTCAGAGAAATGTGTTTCTCTGAAAGGCATCAGTGCAGCTGTTAAAGACCCAGGACAAGTCCCTTTCATATTACTGGTCACTAATCTCCTACCTGAGGCTGGACAGAAGCCACTAGAAACCTTAATAATGATTCAACCATCCTTATAACCCTTCTGTGGGGGGATATCCAATGGTCTACAGATGGGTTTTGGGTCTCCACTCCAGCCCTCCTCATTCACATCCATATACATGTTTTGGATAAGAAAGGAAAGATTCAACCCAGGTGCAGTGCAGCACCAATGAAACACACAGCATTCCTCTAGTTCCTGAGTGCTTCCTCCCCCCCTCCCCACTACCATGACCCAGTCCTACCTTACAAATCCAGCTAGACCACAGAACACACATTGGTACAGATAAGAGCTCTCAACACATGGAATTCAAGACAGATAAAACCCTCAGGAAAGGGGAACCCAACATAAGGTTGGATGTATAGCCTTCCCCACACACACAAGGGGACAAATAACAGAAATGTGGGTGAAGGGAGACAATGGACAGTGTAAGATATGAAATAATAACAACAATATATAACTTATGAGGGGTTCAACCAGGGTGGGAAGGTAGGGAAAGGAGGGGGGAAAGAGGAGCTTATACCAAGAAAATGTTTTGGAAATGATGGCAACATATGTACAAATATGCTTGATACAATTGATGATGGTTATAAGAGCTGTAAGAGCCCCCACAAAAATGATTACAAAAATAAAATTAAAATAAAAGGAATCTTTCCAAATGGTGAAGTAGCTTCTTTGGAGGAAATTAATATTGAGCAAAACATGGATCAGAGCTAATTGGAATCTTGAAGAGGTAGAGAAGAGAACTTGGCAGCGAGGTTTGTCAAGGGCCCCATCAAAACTCCCGAAGGATTGTTCCGTCAGAACCTGGGGAGGGTTGCCTGAGAGCTGCTTCGGCCCTCTCCTCCTAATGCACAGTTCGGCCCCTTCCACACACAGCAGAGGTCATGAGGACCTGCGGTCAGTGCTCTAAGCTTACTGGTTGGGTAATCTTGGTCAAGTCACTGAATCTCCAATCTTAGTTGCTTCATCTCTCGAATGAAATGGTGAAAGCCATACTTGTCGGAAGGCCAGGAATGGACCCATCATTCTCATTGCTTATGACTGTTTTCTTGTGGGATCCTGTAGGTCTAAGGTGCAGGACCTGTGCTTTGGAATACAATCCACATGTTACTTTTTCTAATGTGGCAAACAGCAATCTCTGAAAAAAAATTTTTTTCCGGCAAGCATTTTACTTTTCCTGTTTGTTGCTCTTTAAGTTACAGCATTAGCCATTTAAAAAAAAAATCATTTTATTGGGGGCTCATACAGCTCTTATCACAATCCATCCATCCATTGTGGCAAGCACATTTGGACATACGTTGCCATCATCATTTTGCTTTATCCATTTCTATGGCAGCCCTTTCAGCTAATTTTCCCTCGTTGATAATGATTCACAAAAGTAATATGGTTCCCTTTGATCTTTCGTAGAGAATTTAGTAGAGTGTCAGCTAGCCATTTGCTTTCCTATCCCAGCTCCCCCATTAACTACACTGATGTTCATTCACAGGGCACAGATGGAATCTTTCCATTTTTCTGTATTGCTTCTATGGGTCTCTCTTGGAAGTAGTACCTCCAGAATGCTCCTTGGAAGCGAGGATGCCAAGACTTCTTCTCAGGTACTTTGGACATGTTATCAGGAGAGATTCTTACCTGAAAAAGGCCATCGTGCTTGGTCAAGTAGAAGGCCAGCGGAAAGGAAGAGCCTCGAGGAGATGGGTTGACACCATGGCTGCAACAATGGACTCAGACATAACAATTAGAGGCTGATGAAGGACCGAGCAGTATTTCACTTTGTTGCACACGGAGTCACTATGAGTTGGTACTGCCTTGACAGCTCCTAACTAACGAATGGATCTCTCCATGTGAAAGTCATTCTGCCTACATTCAGGAAGGCCCACCCTCTGCGCGTCCACCTTCAATACTATGCTTTTGTTGAAGCTCCTTTCACTATCTCCACCCAGAAGTGAACCTTCCATGTCTAGGCTCCATAGTACTTTGCTGTGCCTCTTCAACACTCCTCTCCACAGATTTGTGTTACAGTCATTTGTGAGGGTCCCTGGTGGCACTCACCTGCTAACCAAAAGGCCAGGCATTCGAACTTACCAGCTATTCTGCAGACAAAAAGCATGGCAGCTTGCTTCAGCAAAGCTTTGGAAACTTGGACACTGTGGGACGGTTCTCCTCAGTCCTGTAGGTCATCATACATCGGAATTGACCCCACAGACGAGTAATCAACTGCCCTTAAAATAAGATTATCCTGGATTACTCCAGAGGGTCCATTGGAATCAGAAGAGCTGTTAAAGGTGGAGGACAAGGCAGAAGAGGAAATGAGTGACCTGTCGCTGCATGTGAAGATGGCGATGGAGTACCATGAGTCAAACATGTGGGCGGCCTCTAGAAACTAGAAAAGGCAAGAAAATCCTTCTTTATTTTTTTCCTTAAAAGGACAGGAAAGACTATCTGATGAAAATTCCTGGGAGGCCACAGCTTCCTCCTAAGCAGTAACTAGTGGGCAGGAGAGAAGGGCAAACAAAGGGAAACACGGCCACCCTACCTGTTCTAGTGGATGAACTGCAGACTGGGGTTTGGGCGTATACTTATAGAGGTGGTGTAGGAATAAGGGGAGTCTTGGGGCACAGCAGATAAGAATAATTACAGTTGGAACTCACCAGGTCAATTAGGAAAAAGATGTACAGTCTGCTTCCATAAAGATTGCAGCCTTAAAACCCCATGGTTTTTACTCTGCTGTATAGGCTCACGTTGAGTGCAAGATAGCTGGACTGACAGTGGGCTTGGTTGGGCTTGGGGAATAAGGTGTCAATACTCAGTGATGAGCAGTAGCATTGTTTGCTGGCCTGATTTGTGGTGTGTGAAGGGTTTTTGCTTCTGTTTGGACTTTATTCTTAGACATTTCTCTGCATTTCTCAAGTAGGGACATTTAATTCCAGGGCTCATATCATGACTAACTATTCAGAGAGGACTTGATGTGTGTGTGTACTTTCAGAAGTTCTCAGTTAGTAGTCATAGAAACCTCTTCAGAGGAGGAGTGTTTTCTCGTCCATAGATCTGAAATTCTTTTTCATATATCTCCACACCTCTTCAAATAGTGTACAAAGAATTGTCAAAAAAATACATTTCACAATTTTTGGGTGCCCCTCAGTCACCAAGCATTAAGGTGCTATCATATGGTGAAAGAAAAGATGTGGAAGACTCATTTTTCACACAAAGGCAGGAAACTCCTATTTGAAGGCACAAGGATAAAACAGAGGGTTGTCCAACCAGAAGAAGCCCCTGGAGGAGATGATTGACACAAGGGCTACAACATTGGGCTCATACAGAACAAAGGTTGGGAGGCTGCTGCGGGCCTGGGCAGTATTTTGTTCGGCAAGTTTGAACTGACTTGAGGGAAGCTAACAAAAGCTGTAAGCTAGGCACCCTGGCGATGTCGTGACAGCAGTCAGCTACTCACTACAAGATCAGCTGTCGGAACCCAACCGGGACTGCGGGCAATGAAAACCTGCCATCTCTCTCCCCAAAGATGACCTCAGAACCCCGAAGGGGACAGCTTTACCCTGCAATCTGGGGTCAGTGTGAGTCGAAATCCATTCACTGTCACCCAAGGACATTATCGACAAGAGGGGTTTACTTTCTTTATTTAGTTTGCTTTTTACAACTACCCCTTAAAAATCCGGCATTACTCTCCCTTTTTTACAGAAGAGAAAACCAAGTCTCTGGATCCGTAGGCCACAATCACACAGATAGAAAGTGGCAGACCGGCTTGGGCTTCAAAATACATGCTCATTCCATTATTCCAGCCTGTTAAATACATCCGACAGGTTCTCAAAGCATTGTCCAGTGACTAATGGTTCTTTTCTGTGCTACAGGCAGCCCATAGCATGTTTCCACAGTCCAGAAATCGTGGAGAAGAGAAACCATTTCCCTGCCCTTAGGTGCTCTGGTGGCATGGTGGTTACGTGTTGGGCTGCTAATTCCACAATACATAGTTCACAACCACCATCCGCTCCACGGGAGAAATATGAGGCTTTCTGCTTTCATAAAGTGTTACAGTCAAAGGTCGGGACCCAAGCAGTTTGCTATTGAAAAGATTGTCCACTTTGGAAACCCGATGGAGCGAGTCCTGTTGGGTCGCTCAAAGTCGGAACCGACTGGTTGCGGGGAGGGGGGTGGGTGGGCGGGAGGGCAGTGAATTTAGTTTGGTTTGGGGGCAGCTGTCGTGTAGTCAGAACATATCCATTCTAATCCCGCATCTTCTCTGCACTGATTCAAATGCCAGTGGCCTTTCTGCAAGATTGGGAGCGTCCATTGACTGCTGATTCCCTATCTTTCTCCTAAGGGAAACACACACACACACACACACACACACCACCCATTGACTGCTGATTCCCTATCTTTCTCCTAAGGGAAACACACACACACACACACACACACACACACACACACCACACCATCTGGTCAATTTCAGCTTTCAGTGACCCAGAGGACAGAGTGGAACTACCCCGTAGGGTTCCCAAGGTGGGGAATCTTTTCAGCGGCATGCTCCCTGTATCCCAGTCTTTGGGTTTGCCCTTGAACGCTTCCCTCCTGGGACCCCGCGGTGCCCTTGCGGAGCGTAGGTGGCCTGCAGACTCGCCTCCTCCCGCCCGGCGCTGCCACTCCGCCGACGGCCGCCAGGGGTCCTCGCTCGGCGCTGCACGCGTGGCCGCCGAGCCCCAGCCGCGGTGCAACGCGCAGGGTGCCTGTGGGGGCCTTCCGAGCCGCCGCGGGTGCATCTGGAGTTCCGCTGCTCCGCGCGCCGGGACGGTGCGCGCTCGAGTGGACCCTCAGCGGCTCCGACGTCAGCCTCTTCCTCTGGCGTCGGCGGCCCAGCAGCAGAGATACGGCCCGGCCCTGAGACGAAAGGGAAAACCCCACGGTGAGTGAGGCGCTGCGCCGAGCGCCAGGGGAGGCGGCCCCCGGGACCGCACGGGCCAGCGGAGGGGCGGGGGTGCCCGGTGGGGGGCGGTGGGAGCTGGGGGCCCGCTCCTCCGCGCCCACCGTCCTCCGGCTTCCGGGGCTGGCGTCCCGCAAGCCCCTCTCTCATCGCCTCTCCGTCCGGCTCCTCGTGTGTCCTTCCGGGACGGGGATCGGGCCCCTGGCCCCCAGCCTGGGCTCTGGGGCCTTGCGTTTGGGAGCTTCCTGAATGAAACCCCCCTTGGTCGGCCGCACCGGCCTTCCCCGCAGCCGTCCCGAGGGGCGGGCGCCGGCGGAGTGCGTGTTGGGCGGGAAGACAAACTTTTACCCAAGTGCGCCGGGGGCAAGGGACCAAAGTCCGGGCGCCGGGGGCTGCGGGGTGGAGGCTGGGCTCGGGGGCCGGGAGGGGCCCCCGCACTGTCACCGCGTTCGCCCCCGGGGTTTGTCGACGCCACGTCGTGGGGCACGCTGGGCTCGCAACTGTCAAACACCTGGGATTGTAGCCCCTCCCGGGAGGGTGAAAACCCATCCGCCCTCCTTTGATGGCTCCTTCCCGCCTTCGGACACCGTCTGGGGGATTGGGGGGGCGAGGGCCCGCCGCCGGGACTTGGCAGGTCCTGGCGGCCCCGGGCCCCCCCAGCCCCTCCTTGCCCTTTTCGCACCAGCTCCGCTGCGGGGACTTGCGGACGCGGCCGGCTGAGATCCCAGCGAGCGGCCTTTTGTTTCTCCACGTTTCCCCCATTGTTTGCTTTTCCAACATCTGGCGGGGCTCGGGCGGGGAGGAACCCCCTCACCCTCTCCGAGCGCGCCCACCTCGGGGGCTGCGGGCCCGCTTTGGGGACAGAGGGGCCAGGCCAGAGCCCAGCCAGGCGGCCAGCCAGGCGGCCCCACCGGGCCTGCGGGGAGTGGGTGGGGGAAAGGGGTGCCTTCCCCGCCCGGGGCGCATCGCGCGCACCTTCTCCCGGGCGCGCCGCCGGGGCGCGGACCCACCCGAGGGGTGCCGCGTTGCAAACTGTGTGGGCGAGGTGGTGCCGCCACCCGGCGTGTCCCTGAGTGCGGAGTCCAGTCCCTGGCCAAAGACTTTAGGGGTGGCCTGCCGCCACGGAGGGGCCATGCTTGGTGGGCAGAAAGCTGAGGTTCTGAGACCTGGGTTTCCAGGGTCGGAAGGACCGCAGAGTCGCCCCAAGAGCAGGGAGACGCACCGAACTTCAGAAGCCGCCAGGCTTCGCCTGGGATCGGAGTGCCGCGACTCTCTGGAAAGTGAAGATGCAGTGCTGACGTCCCTTAGGGACCCCGTGTTGAAATCGCTGTCCCCCCGCTGCGTGGTAGGAACTGCCGACCCGAGGACGTGGCCCAGACGCTGGGAGGGCAGGAGCCAAGCTCCCAAGTCCCTCCTAGGAACTTGGGGTTGGCCTGGAGACCCGGTGTGGGTGCCCGTCTTCCGTTAGAAGCGGCCCAGCGGCCCGCCCCCCCCCCTTCTCTCAAAGTTGGACGTTTACACATCGTGTTTATTCTTAGTGGGTGTGGGTTATGAAAGAACCTGGGCGAAAGCAAAGTAGTCCCTGGATAGTGCGGGTCGAGGCGCCCTGTGAGTGCAGTGGTTGGAACCTCTACCTTTCCAAGCCTAGCAGTCCTTCCCTGCTTTTTCTGTGGGATAACCCAGTCAGCCTGAGATTTCATGAACCTAAAGTACCGTTTATCTTTCAACCGAAGGCTGAGGGGAGGGAAGACGCTACCCACTCAACATTGGTTCACCGTAAATGGAAAGTGCGTTATGGCACGTTGTACGATTCTAGGGCTTTCCCTTCTTGGTCAGAACTTGGGAGCTCCGAGCCCCTCCGCAAGGGCAAGGGAAGAGAGCGCTGTTCAGTCAGGCGTGTGGACTCAAGGGCACTTTCTGCCAGGATTCCTAGATAGAGTTGGGGTGCTTTGAAGCACTGGAAGGCATTTTACAAACATTTCATTAGGAAAATGATCCCCAAGGTAGGAGGCCATTGAAATTTACCAGCCACAGCAAGAACAGCCAGGAGCAAAGCAACCAGAAGGAAGGGCCTAGGTGGCTGAACAAGTGCCCCAAGGCACCCTTTAGGGAGGTGAAAGGAGAGTCCCTGTCCCAGGCCAGCCCAGGAATGACAAGGGGGGTAATTACAGTGGATGATCAGCTTGTGTGGTTTATTTCGTTCTAGAATTTAAAAGAGATCCGCTCCCTAATCATTTTAGAAAGAAAAAAAAATAGAGAAAAAGAAAATAAAGAATACAAAAAGTGAATATTATAAACAAGACCACAGTGAGGAATCTTATCCAATTATTTCCTTGGAATAAATTTTTAGAGGTAAAACACCTGGTTCAAAGGATAGGGTGCATTTTTTAGAATGTTTGAGATCGCCTAAATTTGGAAGTTTGCCCAACTATACACAAGCCTGTTGCTTCCCCACACCCACTACCCACCCCCTTTTCACACACACACCCTTTTCCCTTTCCCCCCATCTTTTGCAAGCTGGCGGAAGGCAATTGTCTTATTTTGCATTTCTTTCATCACAAAGGAGATCTACAATATTTCTCCTCATGTTGTCTTTGCTGGGTTTTTTTCCCCTTGGTGATGTTGTGTCCTTATTTTTCAGTGTGAATGATTCTCCTTTTTCTCTTTGATGTGACCTGCTGTTTACCAAGAAGCTCTGGGGGTGCTGTCAGTGACTGCTAACAGATGGTTCAAACCATCTGATGGCTCCTCAGGAGACAGAGAAGGCTATCCGCTCCTATTAAAGTGTACCGCCCAAGAAAATGTAGAGAGGGTCAGATGGACATGATGGCAGTGGATTTTGTGCTCTGTAGGGAAGCATGCTATTGCTGACTTCTATCCTTGACTGTGCAGTTGAGCAATCTGAATTGAGGAGAAGAGAGGGCTCAGCTCTTGGCCAATTCTCCACTCTCCTGCGTAGCAAACACTTGACAAACCTGTAACCATAAATGAGACTGAAATAGCTGAGATGATTCCAGTAGAATTATTAAGGAGACCTTCAAAGGCATTATTAGAGAAACTTGTGGAAAATACCAAGTCTTAGCAGCTTGCATACCCCAACCCCATTTCCGCTACACTGTTGTACTTTTTTCATGTACAACGACTCTTGCGAATGAGTTGTTTTTACTAAGTGGATTGATCACACAAACTAATTTTATTGTCTGGTTTTTCCTCAGATAGCCAGTCTTACATGATCTACAACTTGTTCTTTAAAACATTTCTTCTAGCTTTGCGTTGTTGTTATAAATTTGCCTCAGTTTCTGTCTTTGGCTGTACTATGTGAACACTGCATTTGGAACGATCTTGAATCCAAACGGTTTAGCTGCACGCTCATCATCAGCTGGAACTGGAGGGGCCACTCACAGGCTGAGCCGGGCAACTTCACCCTCTTCTGTGCATTTGTGTTCCACAGTCTCTGTTTCAATTCCTGCTGGGAAGGAGGTGGTTCTCAAACTGGGATAAGGGACAGAGAGGAAGAGAAAATTCATTTCAGCCAATGGTTAAGGCAAATGGTGGACCACACAAGAAAACTTAAATCAATAATGTAGACACTCTGGGCACAAAATCACATTAAAATGATAAAATATTAAAGTTGCCATGTATTATCAGAGTGGTTAATTGATTTAACAGATTAAAAATAATTACTCCTTTATTTTTTATTTATAAAGTTCTGCCACAGTTTGACTCCCAGAATTTCATTGGAGGCACAAAAAATTCAGTGGTAGTTGGGAATTACACTTTCCTGAAGCACTTTCCATGTGTCTAGGCATGGACTGGATGGCAGGGAGTTTGGAGGGGTTTTTGAGAATGGAAGTCAGATCATATACAATAGGGATGCATAGTGCTCAGTGTTAGAAGTACAGCCTCTCAAAGGCTGGGCCAATTTTCACGGACACCTCATTCAGACAACCAATGTCACTGTAGATTGTTCTTAATAAAACACCACCCTGTTCTGTGTTATAGCAAATCAATCAAGGTGTGGGGCAAATGGTCCAGAAATATCTATTCACACCCCACCACCCCACCTTTTTTTTTCTTTTTGAGAGGGAAATGGGTTTTTTCATACCGCACAGATTGTAGCAACTCTGAATGTGCTAACCTTTGTTGGCAGTAAAGCGGTTAAGCCCCTGAGAGGTTACATTTTGCAGAATTTTCTAATCCATATTCTCCTATCATTGACTTGGTATAGTTTCCAGTTGGTAGAGCAAAGCAAGTATAAAAGAACAAGAGATGGAGACT